GTTATTGGAGACGTCACAGGAGAAGTTACTGGATTCGATGGTTGAGGTCCTATCTTNGATGGACTCGGTCCTATCTTNGAAGGACTCGGTCCTATTGTTGGCTGTATTGGAGACGTCACAGGAGAAGTTACTGGAGACGTATGGTTGAGGTCCTATCTTNGATGGACTCGGTCCTATCTTNGAAGGACTTGGTCCTATTGTTGGCTGTATTGGAGACGTCACAGGAGAAGTTACTGGATTTGATGGTTGAGGTCCTATCTTNGAAGGACTTGGTCCTTTTGTTGGTTGTACTGGAGACGTCACAGGAGAAGTTACTGGATTCGATGGACTCGGTCCTATCTTNGAAGGACTTGGTCCTTTTGTTGGCTGTACTGGAGACGTCACAGGAGAAGTTACTGGATTCGATGGACTCGGTCCTATCTTNGATGGACTTGGTCCTTTTGTTGGTTGTATTGGAGACGTCACAGGAGAAGTTACTGGATTTGATGGTTGAGGTCCTATCTTNGATGGACTCGGTCCTATTGTTGGCTGTATTGGAGACGTCACAGGAGAAGTTACTGGATTCGATGGTTGAGGTCCTATCTTNGAAGGACTTGGTCCTATTGTTGGCTGTACTGGAGACGTCACAGGAGAAGTTACTGGATTCGATGGACTNGGTCCTATCTTNGAAGGACTTGGTCCTATCTTNGAAGGACTCGGTCCTATTGTTGGCTGTACTGGAGACGTCACAGGAGAAGTTACTGGAATTGATGGATGAGGTCCTATCTGAGATGGACTCGGTCCTATTGTTGGTTGTATTGGAGACGTCACAGGAGAAGTTACTGGATTTGATGGACTGAGGTCCTATCTTAGATGGACTTGGTCCTATCGTTAGAAGGGATTGGAGACGTCACAGGTAGAAGTTACTGGAGATGATGGTTGAAGAACTATCTGAGAATGGACTGGGTCAGGTTCTATCTTGTACTGGAGACGGTCACATGGTAGACAGTTACTGGAGTTGATGGTTGAGGTCCTATCTTNGAAGGACTTGGTCCTATCTTNGAAGGGCTTGGTCCTATTGTTGGCTGTACTGGAGACGTCACAGGAGAAGTTACTGGAATTGATGGTTGAGGTCCTATCTTNGATGGACTCGGTCCTATTGTTGGTTGTATTGGAGACGTCACAGGAGAAGTTTCTGGATTTGATGGTTGAGGTCCTATCTTNGAAGGACTTGGTCCTTTTGTTGGCTGTACTGGAGACGTCACAGGAGAAGTTACTGGATTTGATGGTTGAGGTCCTATCTTNGATGGACTCGGTCCTATTGTTGGTTGTGTTGGAGACGTCACAGGAGAAGTTACTGGATTTGATGGACTCGGTCCTATTGTTGGCTGTATTGGAGACGTCACAGGAGAAGTTACTGGATTTGATGGTTGAGGTCCTATCTTNGAAGGACTTGGTCCTTTTGTTTGTTGTATTGGAGACGTCACAGGAGAAGTTTCTGGATTTGATGGTTGAGGTCCTATCTTNGAAGGACTTGGTCCTTTTGTTGGCTGTACTGGAGACGTCACAGGAGAAGTTACTGGATTTGATGGTTGAGGTCCTATCTTNGATGGACTCGGTCCTTTTGTTGGCTGTACTGGAGACGTCACAGGAGAAGTTACTGGATTCGATGGACTCGGTCCTATCTTAGAAGGACTTGGTCCTTTTGTTGGCTGTACTGGAGACGTCNCAGGAGAAGTTNCTGGATTCGATGGATTCNGGTCCTATCTTNGAAGGACTCGGTCCTATTGTTGGCTGTATTGGAGACGTCACAGGAGAAGTTACTGGATTCGATGGTTGAGGTCCTATCTTNGATGGACTCGGTCCTATCTTNGAAGGACTCGGTCCTATTGTTGGCTGTACTGGAGACGTCACAGGAGAAGTTACTGGATTTGATGGTTGAGGTCCTATCTTNGAAGGACTTGGTCCTTTTGTTGGTTGTACTGGAGACGTCACAGGAGAAGTTACTGGATTTGATGGACTCGGTCCTATCTTNGAAGGACTTGGTCCTTTTGTTGGCTGTACTGGAGACGTCACAGGAGAAGTTACTGGATTTGATGGTTGAGGTCCTATCTGAGATGGACTCGGTCCTATTGTTGGTTGTATTGGAGACGTCACAGGAGAAGTTACTGGATTTGATGGTTGAGGTCCTATCTTNGATGGACTCGGTCCTATTGTTGGCTGTATTGGAGACGTCACAGGAGAAGTTACTGGATTTGATGGTTGAGGTCCTATCTTNGAAGGACTTGGTCCTTTTGTTTGTTGTATTGGAGACGTCACAGGAGAAGTTTCTGGATTTGATGGTTGAGGTCCTATCTTNGATGGACTTGGTCCTTTTGTTTGTTGTATTGGAGACGTCACAGGAGAAGTTTCTGGATTTGATGGTTGAGGTCCTATCTTNGAAGGACTTGGTCCTATTGTTGGCTGTACTGGAGACGTCACAGGAGAAGTTACTGGATTTGATGGTTGAGGTCCTATCTGAGATGGACTTGGTCCTTTTGTTGGTTGTACTGGAGACGTCACAGGAGAAGTTACTGGATTCGATGGACTCGGTCCTATCTTNGAAGGACTTGGTCCTATTGTTGGCTGTACTGGAGACGTCACAGGAGAAGTTACTGGA